TTAGATTCTACATATTGATTTTTAACTTACCTGAATATTTCTTGTATAATGTGTGAAATAGGGCTCTATATTTGTTTTATTTCAAGTAATAGTGGTCCATGTACCTTATTTGTGGAATAAGCCTTATTTTACCCATTTATTTGAAATATCAACTTAATCATATATTACATTGTTAGATATATATGTTTGTCTCTAGAATGCTCATTATATTTCATTATCTACTTGATTATTTCTGTGCTGGTGTCATGTTGGTTTAATTGCTGAGACTTTACAATGGTCTTAAATTTTTTAATATTTTAAAATTAAATTTGACATTAAAAAAATAATAAAACCAATCTGCATTTAAGAAAGAAAGAGAGAGAGAGATGGAACTCCTACCTTTTGCAGCAACATGGATGGAACTGGAGAATATTAAGCTAAGTGAAATAAGCCAGTTGATGAAAAACAAATACCATATGATCTCACCTATAAGTGGACTCTAGTCAACAAAATAAACTAACAAACAAAATAAAACACAGGCATGGAAACATGGAGCAGCCTGAAAGTGACCAGAGGGGTGGGGAGAGAGGACAATGGTGGAAAGAAGGGGAAGGGACTAGATAATATGTATGAATGACCCATGGGCATGGACAACAGAGTGGGAATTGACTGTGGGGGTGGGGTGGGGAGGGGGGATGGAAGTGAGATGGGTGGAGGAGGGGAAGGGGGAAAATTGAGACAACTATAATAGAATAAACATGATTTTAAAATTTTTAAAAAATTAAAAAAATAAAATGAATGTTTAATTCCTAAAGTTATTTCTCTAAGCCTTTCTTCCTCGTCACCTTCCTGTCTAGATGAGTCACTTTCCCCCATGGACACTAAGAAGGTCATAATTGGAGTGACCTGTTTGTAGAGAAGTATGGAGGCTCTAATTTTCAATAATCTCTATAACTAACCTTTACTGAATGCTTCCTGTGGGTCAGGCACTATGAGGAGGTCTTTAAATATATTATCTTGGTTAGCATGTAAACAGAAGTTAAGAGGCAGGGTTCAAGTGAGTCTGAGCCCTGGCTTCTCTACTTTAACAGCTTTGTGAATTTGGGCCAGCCTAATTCTCTCGGTGCCTTAGCTTCCTCCTCTGTAAAGTGAGGAGAATAATAGTACTGCCTCACAGTGATTTAAAAATTAGTTTTATGTAAAATACTTAGAATATTAAACACTTGGTAAATATTAACTCTTATTTATATTAATCTTCATATTATCCTGAGAGGTAGGGATTTTGCAGTAGAGGAAATAAGTTCAAAATAAATTTTTGAGATTAAATAAATTAAATAAATTTGCTGAAGATAATTTATCTAATATAAAGAACTTGATTAAAATCTGAGCCTAACATATTCCTGGCTGCTTTCTTAGCCATTTGGACCATCTTCATGGTCCACTCCCTATGGTCCCTATAGGAGGGAGTGAGGCTGATAAACTTAACTATTGTCAACTTGTAGTGCATGGTTAATGTCTCATCACTGGACAAAACATTTACAGTGGCTGGCTGACTGTTTTTGATAAACTTTGATTAGGTACAAATACTGTAATCAACAATGTTATCTGTGATTAGAGAACCTTGTAATCCCAAAGGAGGCTAATTTAAATGTGTCTGTATTACTGTTTTATATTAAGCTCACTAAGGGTGAGTTGATTTGGACTGTGTGATAATTTTCCTTAGAAGTCTTCATATATATTGGGTTGGCCAAAAAGTTCATTTAGTTTTTTTCTGTAGAAGGGCTCTAATAATGCTTAGTTTGTCTTTAACTTCATTTGAAACAATTTTGTTAGATTGTACTGTGACAGTTGTCATATAAAAACTTAGCAAAATTGGTGAATTTTTGTGAAGACTTTTTAATATTGAAGATGAAAGAAGATACACAACGTTTTCAGCACATTATGCTTTATTATTTCAAGAAAGGTAAAAACGCAGCAGAAAGGCAAAAAAAAAAAAAAAAAAGATTTGTGTAGTGTCTGGAGAAGGTGCTATGACTGACCGAACATGTCAAAAGTGGTTTGCAAAGTTTCTTGGTACTATTGACATTTTGGCAAAGTCAGTCTTTGTTGTGAGGCTGCCTTATGCATTGGAAGATGTTTAGTAACACCCCTGGCCTCTACCTCCTGGAAACTAATAGCAGGAGACAGGTGACATACTCAAAATACCCAAATTAATAAGTTATTGGTGAAATGAAAAATGTGTCTTTTATTTTACGGAATAAAATGTTTATGAAACATTTTGGGCAACCCAATATATCTTACTTTAAAGAAAACTTATTTTCTCCCCAAACATTTCTGGATACTTTCCTCCCCTACAGTAGGACTAGGGCATTTGGTATATTATAAGCTAAGACTTAAAATCTATCTCCTCCCTCACACTGTTTATACCCATTTTAAGTAATTAGTCTGTAACATCAAATAGTTAATATTATTCTGCCCTTCTTCTCATAACATTAGTAAATAATTACTGTACTTATTGGCTGAATTTTTCTCGCTAGGTATAACAGGAAGACAGTTAAGGATGTTAACTTCTCTTGTTTTATTTTTATTTGGAAATCCTACCTCCTTTTTCTTTTTTATATTAGGTCATGTGAATTTTGCTATTGGGGTTGCTAAGTGAAAAAGAAAAGGTTATATGACAAGTGGGGTTAAAGAAAAGAATTAAGAGAGAAAGGAGGCTAGAATTAACTTTAGAGTAGCAATATTTAAATTTAAAAAATTCACGGGAATGAATAACATTCATTATTTTCATGAAAGGAAATTATATGGTAGCTCACAGTGTAGCCTGTCTAGATGCTTGTAAATAATGTGTTACAAAGTCCTTGGCTCCCTGCAGGGTGTTGGCTCGTGAGCAGGTTTTACTCTATACATTGAGTTTGTGAGATCTAAAATTTGAAATAAGACTATTTTATTTATTCGTTAAAAATGAAGCTACCTTTTTTTTTAAGTGCTGGCATTTCTGACCAGTACTTTATTTTGTTTTTGTTTGCTTTTGCAAAATGTTATATTCTATTATTTTTCATTGCAGTTGTACAAATATACCTCTATTTAGTGTAGCCATTCTGTAGGTTGTATTATTAAGGAGTTCAGCCACCACTTAAAATACTGTCTTTATGGAGAAAAACAAAAACACAAATGTACCTTTAGGATGCAACATGTTTAACAATCAACTTTCCCATCATCTTTATTAGGATGTTTTTCAAAGGATTCAGAGTTCTATTCTTACGGAAAGAATTTAGGTATTTGCATATGCTGATTTTTTTCACAGGTAAATCTATTTGAAAATTTCTATTATGTTTGATTGGGAAGGACTGGAAAATTAGTCTGATTTAAGACAGTTGGGCACATACCTTGGGTGTTGGGGTTTTTTTAAAATAATATAATTAATTTTATTCTATAGATACAACATTGGATTTTTTTAAATGTTCTTATTACAGGGAAGGAAGATCAAGCTTTTGGGGGTACAGGATCTAGACAGTTAATGGAGATTTTGCTTTATCTCACCTCTTATTTATATACATTACTATAAGTAATCTGGCTAACTGAACCAGTCTTCAAATGTTCACTGTCTGAAATGTGAAGCCATTTATATAAAATATGTGCCAAGTTTACCCCCGTCTTTACCAAAGAACGGCAGTATAATTGCAAATTTTTTTTTTCCTAGAGATAATCCTAAACTTCTTCTAGCTAATAACTTGAAAAGTGTAGCAGGGCTGGATATACTGAAATACTTTTAGGGTAAAGTAGCTGTCTTAGAAACTGCAATGAAGTATTTGGTAGATGGTGGGTTACAGCACATTACTGTTGTGCCACAGGTCATGGCTTTTGGAGTTATTATAAATTATTGATTTTTATTCATTTCCTATGTAGTGTATGAATAGGGTTTTTTAAAAACTGGTGTCTAATTCTTTATATGTATGTTGGTGTGTGTGTCCCTGGAGTCTTAAGATACTAAGTTGTGTACTCTTTCTGCCCTGGGGCCATCCCTCATCCCAAAGCTCTAGTACTGCATTTCCAACTTTCCTTTGCACCTGGATGTCCTGATGTTCTCCTGTTCATTTCATTTATCCAGAGCACATCCCCCACGTGCCATCCCTGACCTGTTCTCTGGCTCTGTCTGGTGCAGCCACTTTTAATCTGAGTCTTTGCAATTTCCCTGGAAATACTTCATTCCCGTCAGTTCTCAGAACTATTCAGTTCTTCCAAATCTGGTGTGTATTGGTTTTGATTGATGATGTCACATGATCAGTTTTACAACAGTTTTTCAATGTGGGCAAAACAACACTCTTTATGTATACATTGATTTGTAAGTGTATTCTGATTCAGAAATGTTAAATACAAATTTTAGAACTGAAGAACTGTGGAATCACAATTATGCATTAGTTACTGCTTTCCCATGTTGCTCCCGTAGCCATCTTATCTTAATCTTTCACTGTTTCACCCCTAGACTGGTTTCAGCTTTCTTCCAGTGTCTTCCTTGCAGTGTAGACTTTCTAGTTTGTGCTCCCAAACATGCATGCGCGCACATTCCCCCCTCCCCAGTGAACTCTTCCATTCCTGCAGACAGAGTCCAAATTCCTAGCATTCAGGGTCATTTTGGTTAGCCTGCCAGCCTTATCTCTTCTCTGTGTAAATCTTTCATTATCCTAGCCAAGCTTTTTTAACCATTGTTCACTGAACTCACCATATACCATGCTTCATTGTACAGGACCCTCCCCCTCCCACTATGTCTTGAATTTTTTGCTTGTCTAAATTCCACCTTTCTGGAGCTAGATCAAATGCCCCTCCTGTAGAAAGTCATTTCTGACTACTGTCAAAAATTCAGAAACCAGAGAGATCTTATGTTATATATGGCTCATATCATCTATAACTGCTGCCCTATTGTTTTCTCTTTATGGACACCTCCTGCCCTTTAAAATACATAGTAAGTCCCTAAAAGATAAAAATAGGTTTTGTTGGTGGATTACTTTCTTTCTTTGTTTTTTAACATGGAACGCTTCACAAATTTGCCTGTCATTGTGCAGGGGCCATGCTAACCTTCTCTGTATCATTCCAGTTTTAGTGTACATGCAGCTGAAGCGAGCACTGGTGTTGGTTTATAATGCCTCAAATTCCTCAGTGCTTCTTTACACACTAGGTGCTCAGTAGATATTCTTTGGTCTGTTTTGAAGTTGGCTTCTGTACATGACAATGTTTGCATGTAGCTAACATTTTAACTAAAAGCATGTATTTCCCTGGCTTTAGAATGAAGTCAAATTCACCTCTTACCTATGAAGTAAAGAATCTGAAAATCAATTTTTTAAATATCAAAATGAGCCATTACTATCTGTAGCCCTTATACTTTCTAAAATTGGATTTTAGCGTTAGTAGTTTTAAACAAATAATCAATGCTTAACATAGAAATAACATAAAATGATTTAACAGTTTTTTTAACATATCCTCAAGATTTTATCCTCACATAATAAAACAAAATATGAGCTTAGAACTGGATCACTTGGCCCTTTCTCTTATCTCCTCCCAGTTCAAAATGCTTGCATCTCTTAATAGCCAGTATCCTCTTAGATCTGCTGTTGGACACAATGCATTTAAGCCTCAGGACAATCTTCTTCGTAGTTTTAGCTTTTTTGTGGAAAATCTGCTTAGTCTGCCCACCATAGCCACTCCGCTTCCTGTCATAAAGCCACTTTCCTTATGCATACAGAGAATCCTTGCCCTTCTTGTACTGTTACTTTGTAGGATTGATGTTTGCCACACTTCTTACAGAAACTCAGGTGGGTTTTAGGAATGTTCACCATGTTTGTGAGAAAGCTATTGGCATGGACATGGAAAGCTGATTTAACAGTTGTACAAAACAGTAACAGAGTTGAGCAGTGAGCTTTGTGAATGTGGAAAATTTGTGTGGCCATTGGTCCTTACTAGTCAGTTAAGGAAACAGACCTGGTAGATCTAAGGGATGGGGAGTTCCCAGGACCACAGATCCGGTTTCATTGCTGAGATAGGCCTCTTCCTTTTGAGCCACCCCACTGCTGGTCCTGAGGCACCCCTTTTCATAATTATTTGCATGTCTTAATGATAATGTAATGGTGAAGATATTTGTGGAATATGTTGTTTCCTAAATAAGGAGGCAGTCAGTCTTGGGTTTGACATATTAGAAATGCAAAAAAATTTATGAAGCTATCCACAAGAGTGTTTAGCTTCTAAATTTTATATCTAGGACTCCAAAAATTATTCCAAGATCTTCAAGGATAGTAGCAGTCCTGTAATCCTGTAGTCAGAGAGATGACCCTTAAACTAACGCTGATTGGCAAGGTACAGGATGGGGACTCCTTAATTAAGCACAGTAGATGTCTTCTTCTCCTCTTATATTTGTAATTGGTTACTAAGTTAGAAACCAAGTTGGCTAGCACTGGGGAAAGAAGTAAGTGGCACAGGGTGGTTTTGCAGTTTTCTCTGTTGAGTGATTATAATAGGGTTATGAAAAAATATTTTTAACTGTTATCACTGACTCCTTTAAGAACCTGATAAAAGTTGGGGGTCCTTGCCCTTAAAGAAGTTTTGCAATAAAGCAGAGTTTTGTTTTAAGAATCCTTTATTGAGTTCTTGTAGGTTAACAGCCTAGTCTTAACCAGGATTAAATCAGGGAGCACCCCCCTACCCCTGAAAAGGTATCCAGAGAGCAAAATAACATCCTAAAATTGCATGAGAGATGGGTCAGTTTTTGAAACAGGAATAATTCTACTCTTCACTTCCCAGGTCCCTGTCCCTAGCCTGTCCCTTCTTTCCTCTGCATCTATATTTTGCATCTTGATATTGTGTGGGTTGTACTCGACCCCTTGTGAAGTCATCCTTTGCAGGCATGTTGTGTTCTCATTCAGATCTGTCTACATCCAACTCCGTTTGTGTCCCTCAGTGAGTCTTCTCAAATTGAACAAACCTGCATTTTCCATATTTTAAATTCAGGCTTCCCCAAACATCCCAAACATCCTTAATCCTAAATAGCCCAATTCTCTCCAGTTTCTTTTTACTCTTTTTGTGAGTGTGTGCATTATGTATATAGCACCTTGCACATTTTGCAGTTTATATGACCTACAAATGTCAGTAGCTTAAGTTTATTCCCTGGATTTCATCAGTTTGGGTTAGCAAAATAAAAAATTAAATTTTACTGTAACTGGTTAGTGATTATGTTCTTTTACCAGTTGAATTCTCTTATCATGGATTATAGGAAATGGTTTAGACTAAAAAGTCTAATCTCAGGAAACTGCATCTTTTGAAGTTTTAAAATGCATTTCCTTGATTTTAAGATTTTTTGCAGATACTTAGATTAAAATAGATTCCTAGTGGAAGCTGTAGTTGGTTTAAGGTAACCTAATGTTGGAAAATCATGAAACTTTATAGCAAAGAAGACAAATTAATAAATTAGCAGTGTTAGTTGAGATGCCTTGGGCTTCTCTACAAGAGTATTAGGTTTAGTTGCTGTATAATAGCTTTGTCGAGTACTGTTCTGTTTAAGGATAAAAGGCATGTAGGAAACAATATGTAAATATGTTTAGAATAACCAATTTCCTTGATTGCACATAGTTGTGCAGAGTGGAATTTGACTTAAACATACAGTGACTTCGATGTTTTTGTTTTGGCAGAAAATTGTATCTAAACTGTTTGGAGAGTTAACATTTACTTAAGTATCTCAGGAGGAGCTCAAAGAAACCTAGTGTCTGAGGATTGTCTTACTGTTGAATCGCAGCATTTGATCACTTGTAAATGACTCTGCAGAACTTTATTATTGGTATGTTGTTACTGTTTTGGGTTTTTTTCTCATTCTTTTAACAGTTCTGCTATTCCTAAAACTTTGTTGAAAATCATTTCAAAGAAGGTGCTCCATTTTCATTCAAGTGGAATAAACACTAAAGAGCTTCTGTAAATGTACATTTTCCTGTACGGAGATAATTATTGCCTTTAAAACTATAAAAGAATAGTTTACAATTCATTGTAAGGACTAACATTGTAGCTTTTTTAAAAAAAATTTTCATGTTCTATCCTTATCTGGTTATATTTCTGATAATGCTGCAGCCTTGAGGTGGTAAAACTGGTGGAAGTGAGTACCTTTGCCACCAGTTAGAATTAATTTCTGGGACTTGAGAAGAATGCTGTCATTGTAAATTGATCACTGACACAGGTGCTATTCCGTTCATAATACTATTTTTGAACTGTAGCCTAACATTGCTGATTTAACACAAGATTTATCTACTTATGAATAATAGGTGGGCACAGGAGAAACATATATTTTCTTATTTCTCATACCTTATCTTTTGAAAAGGTTGTAGTGTAGTTTTGGATATCTTGGCAAAGGGGATAACTTAAATTTCCCTTTTTTTGAAACTGTTGTTCCAATTACAGTTGTCCCAATTTTCCCCCGTTGCTTTCCCCTGCTTCACCCACCCCCACTACCCCCGCTCAGTCAATCCCCACACTATGGTCCATTACCATGGGTCCTTTATACATGTTCCTTGTTAAATTTCCTTTTTTTTTTTTTTGGATATATAAGTCTGAAAACTTTTGGTTCAGGCAAGTGAAAAAGGAATAGATGAAGGGGTGTCCGACCTTCTGGCGTCTCTGGGCCACACTGGAAGAATTGTCTTGGGCCACACATTAAAAACGTTGCGATCTGTAATCACAAAAAATTCTCATAATGTTTTAAGTAAATTTACAATTTTGTGTTGGTCTGCATTCATAGCCATTCTGTGCCACATGTGGCCGGTGGGCCACAGGTTAGAGTATAAAACCTTCCTGAAGACATACAGATGGCCAACACATGAAATGATGTTTCACATTACTAATTATTAGGGAAATACAAGTCAAAACCACAAGGAGATACCTCTTCATACTTGTTAGAATGGCTGTTAATCAAAAGATAAATAATGTGTTGGAGAGGAGGTGAAGAAAAGGGAACCCTGGTACTCTGTTGGTGGGATTGTAAATTGCTGCAGTCACTGTGGGAAATATAGAGGTTCCTCAAAGTATTAAGGCTAGAACTACCATATTATTTAGGAATTCCTCTTCTGGATGTATATATCTGAAAAATGTGAAAACACGAATTCGAAAAGATATATGTACCCCTTTGTTCACAGCAGCATTATTTATAATAGCTAAGACACGGAAACAACCTAAGAATCCATCAGTAGATAAAGAATGAACAAAATGGTTAAAGTTAAAGATGTGGTATAAACAGTTAAGCCTTGAACAACTGAGGTTTGAGCTGATCAGGTCCACTTATAGGAGAACTTTTCTCAATAAATACACAGTTGGCCCTCCACATCCCTGGGTTTCAAATTTTTGAATTCAGCAAGCCACAGAGAAAACAGTATTTTCCATCTGAGTTTGAGAATCTGCATATGCAGTGGGCCTACTTAAGTTATTCATAGATTTTCAACTGCATGAGGGTCTGTGCCATAAAAAGATGAAATTTGTCATTTTTAACAAATCTTGGATGGATCTTGAGGGTATTATGCCAAGTGAAATAAATTAGAGGGAAAGGGACAAAAACATGATTTCACTCCTGTGGAATACAAAACAAAAAAACAAAAGAACAAAACAAAATAAAAACAAACTCATAGATCAGACAACAGATCCATGGCTGCCTGAGGGGAAGGAAAGGGTGAGGGAAGGGCAAAATAGGTAAATGGAGTCAAATATATGGTGACAGATGGAAACTGCTTTTGGTGGTGTATATAGATATCCAATTATAATGTTGTATACCTGAAACTTACGTAAGGTTATTAAACAATGTTACCTCAATTAAAAAAGAACACTTCCTTTAAAAAAATGCATGCATTTACTTAATAGATTATGATTGAAAAAGGTATACTTGAACTGTAAATCATCTTTACCCCTGCCCTCATTCCCTTTTCTCTGGTTCCTCTTCTCAGAGGTAACCACCCATAATAGTTTCTTATGTATTTTCAGACATAAGACATGTATTTTTTTTTTTTTTTCTTAATAGGCTGTATTTTTTTTTAAGAGCTAAATAATAATCTATTGAATGGATTTGTTTTGATACATAGGTTTTTTTCCTGATCTTTTGCTCTTGCT